GATCAAGGATGCACTGAGAAATTAATCTAAAAAATAAGGATATTTAGGTCATTTTATACAGTTTACCTCAACATTTGCGTAGTCAAAATTATGAATAGTGATCAAGGATGCACTGATAAATTAATTAAAAAAATTAGAATATTTAGGTCATTTTATACAGTTTGCTTCAACATTTGCTTAGTCAAACCTTGCTTTCACATCAAAAGTAAGGCCTCTTTTGGTTAGTGTTAAAAAAATTAAAATTGATTTATTTAAATTATATCATAATTGATTTATTTAAATTATATCATTTTTTTATTTTTTTATATGTTTTTTTTATAATAAATAAAAATATTAGCTAATAAAGCATACCTAAAACAACCTTAAAGTAACTCATAATGTACGGCATAAACTAGATTAGAAATTGTATGCTTTTTCTTTTCTTTATTTTTTTAAGATAGGAGAAATTGTATTCTCTTTCATTGGCTTTTTATGACAACCTCCAACAAAGACTTAAACCAAGTCGTTCGGCATAGTCTTTCTTCTTCTTCTTTTTTAAATTATGTTAAAATTTTTAATTTTCAAAAGAATGATTCTGGTTGAATATCAAACACTAAGTTACAACTCTATATATACACATCACAAACTGAATTAGAAATATCCTTAACTAACACATCTAACTAAACTAACAATATTTAATTACAACCATACTAACTAATGTCTAGCTTGTTTGGTGAGTAGGATATCATATTCCTATTCTGGAATTGAGATCATTCCAAAATAGATGAATTTTGACTGTAAATGAATTTAAAAGTTAAAGTATAAAATAATTTAAAAGGTTCACTAAAAATTTAAAAAAAAAAAAAAAACCCAAAAAGTGAACTTTTTTTTTCCTTCTCTTTTTAAAATATTTTACTTTTCTAATCCATCTAAGTATATAGTAGAACTCAAAAGTGTAAAGCTTTTTAAAAATTTTAAAAATTAAAAATTTCACTATAAACAAAACAAAACAAAACAAAAAAAATCAACGCCAAACACCTATTGAAATAATTAAAATTGAGCAAATTTTGGATAAATATCTTTCAGAAGCATGGAGGCTCACGAATGCGAAAATGGCTTAAAATCTAAAATGGGTTAGCAAGGGTTGATTATTCAACAAGGATCAACAGAGTTGGAGAGAAGATTCCTTTAGTACTTTTTTTATCCAGTTATCATGTTGCAGTTAATCCAAAAGTAATAGATGATGGAAGTGCTAGAGAGAATTCGAATCCGATAATTTGATGAGTGCAAGTTCTACTCATCAACTTTTCAAGAGTTACTATTTAAAAAATAAATAAATAAAATAATAATAATAATAATAATAATAATAAATTTTAAAAAAAATTGAATGGTATGAGATTCTCTATCTCAAAATCTCTATTCAATGTTTTGAAAACAATCGTTGAATAAATTGGAAAAGCAACTAAGTACAAGATAAGTGGTTCAACTATTAAATCAATTAAAATTAAACGGTCATGTCATAATTATCTTATAAATATATTAATAATTATACACAAATAAAAATATACCATATAAAAATATATACCTATATAATCAATTTATTTTTAATTCAAATTGTAAAATTTTACGAACTGTGGTTTGTCCGAAATCATTGTAATAAGTTTTTAATAATACAAAATAAATGATATAATATATATATATCAACTTATTTAGCATGAGTGGTGTGTAGTTCAGTTAGTGGTCAGAGCATCGCCTTTTCTACTATCGAATCTCCATTTTTCTATAATAATAATAATTTGTGTCTTGTTTTTTTGTTTACAAATATAAAAATTGTGAGGTCAAGGGATTATTGTATGGATGTAAGTTGCAGTAGCAGGGGAGTTTGTTCAGTCGTCGAACTTCTCTTGGTGCATTTCACCATCTTATATCTTTGATTTCATATTTTTAATTAATTTTTTCATTGAACAAAAAAAATAATTTCTATAATAATAACTAATAAATAAAATAGTTCTTGAGAGTGTACGATTTTAATAGTTTTATCTGAATCAAAACTTGAACAGGTCAATAGTTGAACCAGCTGGTCTAGTCTCCAACGTGCTCTCTTAACCGCATGAACATATTTTTGAAATAATGCATTGACGGAGAGAGGGTAATTGCCAAAAGAACGATGGCCATTTTGAATAACTCAGCCCATTTGACGGGCCAAGCTGACTAGTTTATGGAAAAATTAATATACGTCACATCCAAAATGATGTGCTATAAAATTTAATTTTAGTGAACCAGTTAGGGTTCCATTAAGGGAATCTTTTCCTAAATTCCATGGGTTGGCTGAGTTTATAAAATCTAAGGGTAAGATTCCAATGTCAAGTTTGAGTTTGGAGATGTTACGATGGTAGAGAGAAAGTGAGAAAAAGTTATGTATTTTATATATATTGAATTGAATTGAATTGAATTGAATATAATAGGAGAATCTGTATTTATAGGCTGAACACAAATTTAGATAAGTATAGAAAGAGATAGAGATAGAGATAGAGAGAGATAGACTATATCTACAACACAAAAAGATAAGTATAAATCTAAATCTAATATATACATTAACAGACCCCCTCAAACTCAAGGTGGGTAAGTATCAACCAACTTGAGTTTGGAAACTAGATCACCGAAACGACTAGGGGAATGAGCAATGGTGAAAATATCAGCAAATTGATCAGCAGAAGAAATAGACACTACAACAAAAACATACTTTAGTGGCACTACACTAGTGGCATATTTTTAGAAAATGCCACAAAAAATGATATTTAGTGGAACGTTTTTGAAAAATACCACAAAACGACAAACATAAAAGGCTCTAGTGACATTTCAATGAACAAGTGTCACAAAACTACAACAAAAACATACTTTAGTGGTACTACACTAGTGGCATATTTTTAGAAAATGCCACAAAAAATGATATTTAGTGGCACGTTTTTGAAAAATGCCACAAAACGACAAACATAAAAGGCTCTAGTGACATTTCAATGAACAAGTGTCACAAAACTACAACAAAAACATACTTTAGTGACACTACACTAGTGGCATATTTTTAGAAAATGCCACAAAAAATGATATTTAGTGGCACGTTTTTGAAAAATACCACAAAACGACAAACATAAAAGGCTCTAGTGACATTTCAAAGAACAAGTGTCACAAAACTATAACAAAAACATACTTTAGTGGCACTGCACTAATGGCATATTTTTAAAAAATGACACAAAAATGATATTTAGTGGCACATTTTTTAAAAATGCCACAAAACAACAAACATAAAAGGCTCTAGTAACATTTCAATGAACAAGTGTCACAAAACTATATCATCGCACATCTCTCTTGGCACTACACTAGTGGTATATTTTTAGAAAATGCCACAAAAAACGATATTTAGTGGCACGTTTTTAAAAAATGCCACAAAAAATGATATTTAGTGGCACATTTTTGAAAAATGCCACAAAACGACAAACATAAAAAGCTCTAGTGACATTTCAATAAACAAGTGTCACAAAACTACAACAAAAACATACTTCAGTGGCACTACACTAGTGGTATATTTTTAGAAAATGCCACAAAAAACGATATTTAGTGGCACGTTTTTGAAAAATGCCACAAAACGACAAACATAAAAAGCTCTAGTGACATTTCAATAAACAAGTGTCACAAAACTACAACAAAAACATACTTCAGTGGCACTACACTAAAAGTCTACAATTGGCGACTAAAACTAAGTTTGGTCGCTGATTATATGGGTTTTAGTGACTAAAAAATTTTTAGTAGCCCAAAGTAAAGCTTTTTGGCGACTAAAAAAATTTAGTAGCGAAAAGTCTACAATTGGCGACTAAAAATAAGTTTGGTCGCTGATTATATGGGTCTTACCGACTAAAAAAATTTTAGTAGCCAAAAGTAAAGCTTTTTGGTGCCAAAAAAATTTTTAGTAGCCAAAAGTCTACAATTGGCGACTAAAAATAAGTTTGGTCGCTGATTATATGGGTCTTACCGACTAAAAAAATTTTAGTAGCCAAAAGTAAAGCTTTTTGGTGCAAAAAAATATTTTAGTAGCCAAAAGTCTACAATTGGCGACTAAAAAATAAGTTTAGTCGCCAAAAGTGGTCATTTTTAGAGCGGGAGAACTAAAATCTTAAGGCGAGAATAAAATTTTTTGGTGACCAAAATTTTGGTAGCTAAAAGTGCATATTTGGCGACCAAATCCGATTTTAGTCGACAAAAGTTAAGTTTTTTAGCAACTAAAAAATAATTAGTAGCCAAAAGTATTTTTTTAGTCGCCAAAAGTGGTCTTTTTTTTATTTTGGTAGTAAATAGTTTATTTTACATAAATTATGTTCAATAAAATAATTATGTTTATACATATACTTTTATATTAATATGGATGTATGTACTATATAAATAATATATGTTGCATAGATAGTCATGTGGTGGTATAGAGGTGTAGTGGGAAGAGTGTGGTGTATAAGGTTTATGGTGCAGAAAGTTGGCGGTTCGGGTCTCCACAAGAGCATATCAAATTGTTCTACAACGAATTATCGTCATAAATGGCACTTGATAGCGTCACGAATAGTGTCTACCATGACATTAAAGTGTCACTGAAATGTTTTAGTCTTGATGGTGTAATGACACTTACAAGTGTCACTAACTCTTTTTTTAATGGCGCTTGATAGTGCCACAAATAATATCTACCATGACATTAAAATGTCATTGAAAGTTTTCAGCCATGATGGTGCAGTGGCAAGTATCTACCGTGGCACCGATAAAAGTGGCACTTGTTCAAAATGCCACAAGACCAAAAAATGTCATTAGAAGAATAGTTTTGTGGCACTTTCAAATGTCACTAAACTAAGAAAATGTTGTAGTGAGAAAGAAGACAAACAGTGCCACGTGTAACATGGTGTCAAATGAAATGACAATCAATCTCAATATGTTTGGTGCAATCATGGAAGACATCATTGTAAACAATCTGAATGGCACTCTGATTGTCACAATAAAGAAAGGTGGCACCAGGGGAAAAAAACACCCATATCAGTAAGGAGCCAATGAAGCCATAAAAGTTCTTGAGTAGTGTCAACAAGAGCACGATACTCATCCTCAGTACTAGAACGAGCAACAAGAGTTTGCTTCTTGCTGCGCCAGGCAATAAGAGAGTCACCCAAGAAGAAACAAATCCTGTAGTAGAACGACAACCAGTAGGATCCCCTACCCAATCTGCATCAGAAAATGCGTATAATTGTAGAGATGAGTGTGCGGAGTAGTGAAGACCATGAAACATAGTTCCTTTGAGATAGCGCAAAATACGAATCAGAGCATTATAGTGCAGAGAGCGAGGAGCAACCGTGAACTGACTGACAATGTGAACAGCATAGGCAATGTCTGGACGAGTAACTGTGAGATAAACAAGACTGCCAACTAGCTGATAATATAAGGTAGCATCAGACAACAGGTGATCGTCAAGAGGTGTGAGACAAGTCTGAGGATCAACTGGGGTAGGGGCAGTCTTGCAATCGGTAAGACCAGTACGAGCCAAAAGATCAGAGGTATACTTGGCTTGGGTGAGAAAGTAACCAGAAGAATCATGAGAAATTTCCAAGCCAAGGAAGTAACTAAGCAAACCTAAATCTTTCATCTCAAACTGGCGACTGAGGAACTATTTGAGACTAGAGATACCCATTGTGTCATCCCCGGTGATAATCATATCATCAATATAGAGAAGAAGAAGAATAACACCACACTCTGTCTTGCGTATAAACAGAACAAAATCATAGGCACTGGAAGAGAATCCAAAGTTACTAATGATATAACTAAACTTGGCAAACCAAGCATGAGGAGCTTGTTTCAAACCATACAAAGCACGGAAAAGTTTACAGACCTTGGTGGACGGAACTAAGGAACCAGGAGGAGGCTGCATATAAACTTCCTCAGTGAGATCGCCATTGAGAAAGGCGTTCTTGACATCAATCTAGCAAAGACTCCAATGGCGAGCAACAGCAATGGCAAGTAGGCTACGAACTGAAGTAAGACGAGCAATAGGAGCAAATGTTTCCCCGTAATCAATCCCATATTCTTGAGTAAACCCTCGAGCAACAAGACGAGCTTTGTACCGCTCAATGGAACCATCAGACTTTAGATAAAACTTATACCTGGGATGTAGTTGTGTCACGACCCAAACCCGCCCCTATAGGTTTAGCATCGTAACCAGCCAGTAATTCTTAGATTACCGAAGGCCTCTGAACAGATTAACAAAATTAAGGGGCTAGCGGAAGCTAATACATAAATATAGTTCTCCAATGAGCTGTGCTGACTTATATGTAACATAATATTTAAAAACTTTATATACATAATCAAAAGTCATTCATACATTATACCCACACACATTAGAGTACCTTAAGTACAGCCAACAGAACAACCGAGTCTTATATATACAGAAACAACAGAACTTAAACACTTGAGACACTCCAGGAACCTCCATGTGAGGCACAAGGGTTGGCTGACAACAGAACACAGATCCAGATAAAAGCCTTCAGGCTCGATCTCCAGAATGCCCACCTATACATATATATACACACAGTGAGCTAAAGTCCAGTGAATAACGTCAATGTAAAGAGGTTAGTGAACGAAATCCGAACATATCATAAGCGTAAAACAGATCATAGCATAATTATTCTCGTATCATAACATAATAATGGTAGATCCCATAGAACACATCACATAACGTCTTCCGACTAGAGTAATCGGTTTCGGATACCGATTAAACACATATCACCACAATGAAGTGGCTAACGAGATCTCGTAATCACATGAATGTCATGGACCCGCATTAACATGCCGTCCCCCATGACTTGGGACTATCTATGGATGCCATAATAGATTTCAAACATAGAACATTCGTTCACGAAAACAGATATCATTTCAGAAATGGTGACTTATCATAATTCATTTGAAACATAATTCATATGAACGTATCTTTACAATAACATTACTCACAGTGGTTCTCGCAAACGGTCAATCAATCTCCAGACGTTGACCTACAGACACAAAAGCACATAACACAAACATATCTTGTCATTACACATTCAGGTAGCCATTACGGCTTAGCTTTCATTATAATAGCTCATATTCTTACTTATCACATTGCTTAAAACACACTCTTATAAACTCTTAACTTAGTACATTCTTTACTTAGTGTGTTTCTAACCTATACCTCATTACTATGGCTTAACTAAGTCTTTGGAATGCCTAAGATGCAATGAGGATGCCAAAACATGAGTTGGAACACTTAGTCAAATTTCTGAAAACAGGGTCTCCGCTCGAGCGTAGCTTTCCTCGCTCGAGCGGACATGTAAACATGAAAGGGGTCGCTCGAGCGCAGATTCCTTCGCTCGAGTGATCTACAAAAACATGAAACTTCTGGGAGCTTGCATTTCACGCTCGAGCAGACTCATGGTCTCTTGAGCGGAAGTGCACGCACTCAGAGCGGTCGATCAAGCGTGAACTCCTACGCTCGAGCGTAGATGCAGAATCTGGAATTTCCAGATTGCACCTCCAAGCTCAAAACTCGAATTCAACTCATCAAAACACATCTCTTGGGCCCCAAAACTTGAGATAACCTAGTAAACTTGTAAAATATGAAGAATGAAGGATCATTTCATAAAATCATGGCCCAAGAGTTTGCCAAAAGTTCATAATTCATCTTGAAATTCAAGAAACAAAACATGCGTGTAAAATCTTTTCTTCAAACCTCATGAAACTAGAAAATTGAGCTCATAAGCTCCATGCATGTAAGAAATTCTTCCCAAAACATGATTTTAAGTGAAGGAACATGATAATTCAAACATGGATGATATGAATCATGTTCAAAATAATGAAATTAAACTAAACTAAGCATGCATGTATGAATTACAACTCAAATCTTCATTCAAAACTTATTTTATGCAATTAAACTCATGATCTTGATGAAATCTCATGCTAATAACTTAGATGCACAATTTAGAGGTTGCAATCTTACCTAAAGTCTTCAATAGCTAGATATTTGCACAATCTTTGACCAATTCAAGCTATAGCCTTCAATTTCTCCTTAATCTCTACCTTTCTCTCTCTAGGATTGCACTCTCACTCTCTCTAAAATGAATTCTCAGATTTTGGCACTCAAGGAATGAGGGGAAAAGAGCTAAATGTGTTGAATATATAGTTATGATGCTAAAATACATTAATTGGAACATTAGGCTAACCAAACACAACCTAATTAATCGTTCTGAATCAATTTTTAATTAAATTTTTCAAATGGTTCTAAAAATTCCAAATAACACATTGATGTAATCAATTTCGATTTCGGACGCCGATAAGGCTTTCAATTTTCATATTAAAACGGAATTCCAGACAGATATTTCTACAAGTAACACATAGAAAGCCAAAATCATGCAAAATACAGAATAAACACATAATTTTTTTTAATCCTCTCATTAGCATCATTAACTACGGATTAGCAGCTAATTACGGATCGGGGTTATTACAGGTTGACCTTCTACCTGGCAAAAGTGTTGTTAGTTGTAAATGGGTTTACAAGATCAAAATTAGAACCTCGCGCCCGTTTGTGTTGCTTCTTGGGGTATGGGATTGAACATAAAGGTTATCGTCATTGGGATCCTCTTTCTTGTCATCTTCATGTCTCTCGTCATGCAATATTTTGGGAACACAAAATGTTCTCCTCTATATCTAAGTTTCATTTGTCCACTCCTCTCACTATACCATTCTTTACAGATCCATCTCTTCTATTTGATGAGCTTGATATAGACACTGTTTCTGACATGATGACTCCGGCCCATCCTGAGGATTATGTTCCGTCTCCTAGTTCTGCTACTCCACTCCCTGATCCTTAGCCGATTTCTGTACCTGCTCTTGGTCCTGCTCCACCCCTCAGTGAGCCTCATACATCCCTTGATTCCACTACATCATCTTCTACACCAAAGGTACCTCTTCGTCATTCAACTCGAGTAACACAACCTTCTGTACTTCTTCTTGATTTCATTGTTGGTTCCACTGCTTTTTCTTCTCATAAGCCTACTTCCTATCAAGAGGCTTCGTCTAACCCTCTTTGGCAGCAAGCTATGAGTGATGAACTGTAGGCTTTAGATAAAGCTCATACTTGGGATGTAGTTGACCTTCCACCTGGCAAGAGTGTTGTTAGTTGTAAATGGGTTCACAAGATCAAAACACACTCTGATGGTTCCATTGAGCGTTACAAAACTCATCTTGTTGCTCAGGGGTTTACTCAAGAATATGGGATTGATTACGAGGAAACATTTGCCCCTGTTGCTCGTCTTATTTCAGTTCGTAGCCTACTTGCTATTGTTATTGCTCGCCATTGGAGTCTTTGTCAGATGGATGTTAAGAATGCCTTTCTCAATGACAATCTCACTGAGGAAGTTTACAGACTTTGGTGGACGGAACTAAGATGGTAAGGGAAGGAACACGGTTGATAGTATAGACTCCTATGAGAGCAATTTCTTCCCAAAAACATTTAGGAAAGAAGAAGAGATTAAAAGAGCACGAACAGTGTCGAGGATATGGCGATGTTTGTGCTTAGCACGACCATTTTGTTGGGAGGTACCAGGACAAGAATAATGAGAAAGTGTACCATTTTGACGAAGATATTTTAAAAAATGAGTTTCTTTGTATTCTTAAGCATTATCAGCACGAAAAATTTTGATAGTGAAGGAAAACTGAGTTTTGACCATGTAAGAAAAATCATAATATATTTGGTGTAACTCGGAGCGAGATTTCATAAGAAATAACCAAGTAAAACGAGTGAAATCATCAACAAAGATAACAAAGTATTTAGATCCCCCATAGTGGTATTAGGTGAAGGCCCCCAAACATCAGAGTGTATGAGATCAAAAGGTACATGAGACATAGAGGTACTAGTAGTAAATGGCAAGGCATGCTGTTTTGCAAGTTGACAAGATAGATAGTCTAATTTATCATTTGGAACATCACCTAACTGACCACTTGAAATGAGAGAGCATAAACGACCAAAAGACATGACCTAACCGAGAATGCCATAAAGCAAGAGGAGAACTAATAGTAACAGAAGCAACAGTCCCAACATTAGAGGGATTGGAAGAGGGAATGCGAAGGTGGACGAGCTCGTATAGATGTCCATGTCAATAACCTATCCCAAGGGTTTGTCCTGTCTTCGGATCCTACACAACACAACCAGTAAAAGAAAATAGAACAGTGAGGCCAATATCACAGAGTTAACCAATAGAGATAAGATTATGGATCAGATGAGTGTGAGGGAGAGAGACATTAGAGGTAAAAATATGATCGACACGACTAACATGCATTTGAGAACCATCAGCAGCATGAATGGTAGGTAAATTAGAAGGACATGTAGTGGAAAAAAACAGTGTAGGGTCAGAGGTCATTTGGTTGCAACAAGCGGAATCAAAATACTAAGAAGAGGTACCTGGAGTAACTTAGAGGATAGTAAAGGGTGTACCAGATGTAGAAATAACCTTTTTCACAATAGCTTTAATGTCCTGAAGAATATAGGGTGGTGGCGGGGCAACAATGGATGAGAAACCAGAGGCAACTGTAGTAAATGCAAAATGTCTCGAAGAATGATCTCGGCTGTATATTGTGGAGGGTCCAGAATAGGGACCGTGTTGAGGATAACTATCTGAACGAGCCATGAGGTGATTAAATAACAAATCACAAAGAAGAACCAGTGATGGCGGAGTAAAACTGGATAAAACAGAGTGCACCAGTGAATTCGAAACGTCAAAAATAGGCGAAATCACCAAAAAAAATAGGCAAAATAAAGAGAAGGGCCAGAGATGATGTCAACAGGGCGTAGATGACGTCAACAAAAGGCGCGGCGCACATTACCATAACGGAGGCACGGCGTAGGATAACAGAGACGACGCGCGGCTCACATTAGTATGACGGCGCACAGAGAACGCAAGAAGGGCTGACGTCAGGCTAACGTGAGCGGCTACTAAAAGGCGCGTATGTCAGTGGTGATGGAAGACTTAACACGCTGACGATAAAAACGGCACGTGAGGGTGCATCTGGTGGTAACCAAGAGAGAATTTCGAGCACGAGGATGGAAAATTTGTAAAAATTTGGTCAACAACAATGACAAAACAGTATTGTTGAACAAATAATGGTGTAATCTCGAACCCTGTGCTCTGTGCTTTGATAATGCCACTGTGTATGGACAATAAGGTTGCAAACGAACCGAACCGAGCCGAGCTGAGCTTTGCTGAGCTCGACCTTGCCTCGTTTAGGTATCGAGCTCGTTTATTGAGCTCGAGCTCGGCTCGGTTCGACTCGTTAACATTAATGAAACTCGAGCTTGACTCGGCTCGACTCGATAATTTTTTTTAATATTATTTATATTATTTAAATAAAAAAAATTATTTATATTATTTAATATTCCCTCCGTCCCAAAATAATGGTCCCTTTTGGGGAATCCAACTTTTTTTGGTAGTACAATTATTGTACTTTTAAAAAGTTAGTTTTCCAAAATTACCCTTTGATAGTACACTTTTTTGAGAATATCAATGTCATAATTGTACTTTTTATATTATTTATGAATTTAAAAGAAGGGCAAAATGGGAAATTTATATTATTTTTGTACTTGATTTTTGAAGAGGGACTAATATTTTGGGACAATGAAAAATGGAATAAGGGACTAATATTATGGGACGGAGGGAGTAATTTTCTTTCGTCTTTGTTTTGGGTTAGAAGGTGATATACATGGTCTACAGTCCGTTTAATTAAAATGTGTGATTAAAAAATATATATATAATCACACTTGTTTAAAAAGTGTGATTAAAAAGTAGTAGTGTATATATAATCACACTTTAATTAGAAGGTGTATATATATATATATATATATAATCACACTTAATTGAAAAGTGACATAAAAAATAAATATTATCACACTCAATCAAATAAAGTGTGATTAAAATATCAATCTAATTTTTTTTATCACACTTCCAATAAAAATGAGATCTTTTTTTTTGTTAAAGTGTGATCTTTAACTATTTTTGTAGTAGTGCATATTACAATGGTTGAGAGAAAGTGAGAAAAAACTGTGTATTTTATATATATTGAATTGAATTGAATACAATAGGAGATTCTGTATTTATAGGCTGAACACAAACTTAGATAAGTATAAAAAGGGATAGAGATAGAGATAGAGATACAAGGAGATAGAGATAGAGATACAAGGAGATAGAGATAGAGAGAGATAGACTATATCTACAATACAAGGAGATAAGTATAAATCCAGATTTGTGTAATTTTTATTTTACTGCATTCAATTGTTAGTTCTCTGTTGTTCAAATACAAAATTCAGGCCCAATTAGAGAATCAGGATCCCCTCCTTAATTTCTCTCCTTAACTTCCTACTTACTGGGCCATTGAGCCCACTTTTGGGCTCAATTTTGATAATCCGAACCGTTCACATTTTAAGATTTGTTGATTATATCATACTTGTAAAAAATCAAGTTAATCGGATTTCAAAAACTATGGTTGTGTTTGGTTCAACTTTTAAATCATGATTCTACACTCAAGTTCGAGTGCGGCGTTTGTTTATGGTTTTCAAAACACATTTCCGCACCCGTATTTGAAAAATAGTGTACCCGGATGTCCCCCGGACGTCCAGCCGATTAACCGGAACAGTGTCCTTGAATTTTTTTTATTTTTTTTATTTTTTTTTGTACTTGTTATTTTTATATGTTAAATAAAAAAAATTTTCAATTTTTTTTTTAATTTTTTATGAGTTTTGAATAGAATTTTGGATTGTGTTTGGTTATGAGTTGTAAGTTTTTATATAAAAATTATGTCACATCACTCAATTCAAAAACTCTTTTCAAAACTCTTTTCAAAATTCATTCACCAAACAAATTTTCTACACTTAAATCATAATTTCAAAACTCACAAACTCAAAATACAACTCAGTGTGTTTGGTTTGAGTCTTTTGGATTAAGTTTTTTAAAAACTTAGTTTTTTGGTTTTCGTGTTTTTTTTTTAGTGAATATTTTTAAAATTTTAAACATTTTTTTTTACTTTTTTAGATGCACCTTACTTAGATGTATCTAAAAAGTAAAAAATTTGTGAAAAAATATTTTTAAAAATTAATAAATACATAAAAATGCAAAATATGTACGGAATTCTCATATTTTTTTTGTATTTTTGATATTTAGTGAATTTTTAAAAGATTTCTTTTACAAATTTTTTACTTTTTAGGTATATTTATGTTAGGTATGTCAAAAAAGTAAAAAAAATTGTTTAAAATATTAAAAAAATTCAGTAAAAACAAAAAAAATAGAAAACAAGAAAGTAGAATTTTCTGAAAAGAGTTTTTGAAAAATTTTCTAAAAAGATTTTTTACAAAACTCTACCAAACGCAACCTATGTGTTCGAATCATCGAACTACAAACCATTTTTTAAAGAAACTTAATAAACTGTTTTCAGAACATAAGTTTTCTGATATTTAATCAACTTAATTTTTTACAAGTATGATGAACTCAACAAATCTCAAAATGTGAACGGTTCAGATTATCAAAATTAGGTCCAAAAGTAGGTCCAATGACCCAACAACTAAGAAATTACGGAGAGAAGTTAAGGAACGGATCCTAATTCCCAATTAGATTAGGCTCAGGCGAGATATACGTGAATTATTAAGGGGGAAAAAATGAACAACAATGATTCATCCCCCCTTTTCCCTCCACCCCCTTTGACCCCCTCTCTCTCTCATTGGTTACATTTTCTTTTTCTTTTTCTTTTTTTTCCTGCTCCTCCAATCACCACCTACCACGTGACAAAAGGGGTGAGGGGGTGACCCCCAAAAGGGGGTCCCAAGCATTATTCAAAAATGAATCTTTAATCCTAAACATATGAGTGAAGTCCATTCATTATCTTCATCGTTTACTGTATCAAACTTTCCAACTATATAGCTATGAATTTAAAGAATTTTTCAAAAACATTCAAGATGAAATTTAATTAGAATGCAAATCGTAAATCCAAAGCAAAAAGTAAATAATAATCATATAAGGGGCAATAGTACCAAACATGTAAACCCCCCTCCCTTCCTATGAAAAACAAAAGTACATGTATTTTGGAAATCAAAGAACTAAACACACCACGAAATGTATATATATATATATATATATATCAGTTGCAGTTGAGATCCTGGAGCTGTTGTGACTTGATATTGACATCCATGGTGCAATTCATTTGGATGGACTTCTTCTTCTTCATTATCAACATTAGCTCCACTTTACCACTCAAATTAGATTGGCTTCTCAGAGGCAACAACCCTGAACTTACTTCATTTGCAAATTGTGAATTGCTCGCTAGGCTAGTCGGTGCGATAAGGTCCACTGTAACATTAAACTTCTTGGTTGTTTTCAAACCGGCTTTCGACTTGGGAATATTAGCACTCCCAAACAGTGTTTCTCCATAGTAGAAATTAACAGTGGTGTTGTGGAATTTATAGGGACCGAAATTAGGATTCTTGACCCCAATTTCAGCATACATCTTCATGTGAAATGAAGGGCTTGTTACATTAATGGTCTCGAATGTGGCATACCTAACCCGAAACTTGGGAGTTTTAACTTTCATTATGGTTAGACCAAACACAATTCCCATAACGATCTGTGACACAGTGAATATTACAAAAAAAATCAAACGCTTCTTGCGTTTTTTGAGGCGAAGCTCTTCGGCCTCTTCTTTCTGTGCCTCTTCATCGCTTCGGGCATGACCATTGGCTGGTGCCAATGGATGTCCTGCTTTCCGCTCCTCTCTCTCTGCCATCAAATTTGTTTGATTTTCGAAGAAAGTTAGAGAGAGAGAGAGAGAGAGGAGGGGAGAGATTTCTTGTTCACTAAAAAATCTTTTTTTTTTTTTTCACTAATAGCAAGCAAGTAGCTATGTAAAGAAGAAAATGGTGTTGGTGTGGCAGTAAAGGGTTTGCTAGTAGCTATATATAGGGGGGAGATCACTTTCCTGCAAAAACACTTTCCGGGAAAATGTGTTAAGGCAGGGGGAATAGGAATGAAAAATATCTTATGGTGCACCGAAGCGACTGGCAACTTTGAACATTTGACATTGGGGTTCTTTTGATGTGTACCACCAATACTAATAGACTAATAGGTTAACAAAGACCTGTACCATTTCAACGAAATTATATGCATATATGCACTGAATATATTGGGTGATTATTGGGTATTCTTAAAGTATGGTCATATGATACTCTCAGTATTATAGTTAGAAGAGAAAGTGGAATATTATGATTTTGTATTAAGTGATTAAAAAATATGAAGAAATATAATGAATGATAATTAATAAAAGGTTATGAATTCGTAATATTTTAAGAGTACTTAATTATTATTTTTTTATTATAATAATCATAGAAACTTCCATGTAGAATTGATCTTTATGACATGAAAGTCCAACGGTAAGGAAAGCAACACCACCTTGTAAATTACACTAATCTCCTTTGAGTTTTAAAAAAAATATAATAAAGTTTATAATTTTGATATAATTATATAAATTTCTTAAAATTTAATTTATATATAGTATTGCATCACCTCATTAATAATTCATTAATTATATTGAAGGAAAAATGATGTTTTCAATAAATTTACACCGAAATGTATATATTTAATTATCTATCTTGTCTCCAAGACCATCTACATTAATTTTACTCCCTTTAGTCATACTAAAAAAAAGGACATATAATTATATCAAAACTATATATCTTATTATATTTTCTTCAAGTCTTACAGGAGATTGTTGTGTAATTTACCTTTTTTCTTTTTTCTTTTGTTTGTGGCATAAGTCCAAATAATATAATTAGTTAGTTTATACATATCATAATATTTAAATATTATCACAGGCATATAATAATCACACAAATTACTGTAGAAAGGCTCATAAACAAATACAAGAAAGAAAAAATTCACATAAGAATCAAATTCGCCACCTCCTACAATGCTTGAGAGCCTTGTCCATCAACTAACCCAATTGGTTGAAGTCAAAAAAAGTAGGCAAGCTTTAGCCTTATAGAAGTAAAATATCCTTAGTTTTCCTCTCATTTTAGTTTAGTTTTTTCTCTAAATTATCATAGTATTTGTACGGGGAGGAAATAATTCTCCTCGTATAATCCTGTTGACCAAGTCCACGCTCCTCCGTACGACGTCGCTTTATCACCTGAAAACACAAACGTGAGCTAGCCGTCGGGTGTGTGCCGGAAACCTCTCCGATGCCTAAGTCAGTAAGCTTGACAAATACACAAAGTTTTATGTTCTCAGAAAGAATTGTGTTCAATTACCTCCTCCAAGGTGGTGCTTGTGAGCTTTTATAGGTTTCGAGTGGTATAATCCTAGTAGGACTTGTATTTCTCCATGCAGAGTCCTCCTAGGATCCATATTCCTAAGGATAATGCTTATCCCTTTACACCCTCCCCCACTGCTTAAACCAAGTGGGATGGTTTTTACCACGGCCGAACTACTATATGACCGAAATAATACTGGCTATGTTGAGCCACAGAGTAGGCCGAACTATCCTTAGTTCGGTTTTCTCCCGTTTAACCATGGTATGCTAAGACCAAGCTTCTGAGTAGCAAGCTCCGACCGATCTAACCATAATACTCCGCGACCGGACTAACTTTGGTTATGAACGAACCGTAAGGCCGGACTAACTCCAAGTTACCTCCAAACCGGAGTAGCTTTACACCATCTTGGGCCGAAGCAATTACTCCTCTCCTAACCGGAGTAACTATGCTTCTTCTGGGCCGGAATATTATTACGGCCTTTTACTGAGTCCTTCACACTTAGGGCCATAAAGTCCATCTTACAGCTCGGTCCAAATTTTCTCCAAAAATTACCCTCTCAATTGTCCCTTAATTCCATCTGCACAGCGTGATTGGGATTACCAGTCTACCAACCGAGCTGAAGTTTATTAAGCCTTTTTAATCCCATTGATCTTGAAAAGGTAGATTTAATATATTATTTAAAAATTAAATTTATAATTATACCCTTATTTCTTTTCTTTTTTTTTTCTTTTTTGTAATATATTTCTATTATGTTTATTTCTTCTTCTTTTTTTCTTTTTTTTTTTCTTTTGTGCTACAAAGGTAAGATACAGAATCTATGAAGATCAATTTGGGATGAATTTTTATATGAAAATCTTTTTTTTTTGGAAAACATTTCAAAAGAAGTATAAAAATGACTTCAAATATGGAATTCTTCAATCATTCTAAAAGGATGTAGAATTCTTCAAACATTTCAAAAGGAGTTCAAAAACTTCTTAGTAAGCTTTAGTCAAATGTATAATTTCAAACTATAACACTCCAATGTAATACTCAAATGTAACACTCCAATGTTACACTCTAATATAACATTAAAAAAAAAACTCCTTAATGTAACACTTTAATGTAACACAAAAAAAATCTCTTGGTGTATTTTTTCCAAACGTAACACTTCAAAAAAAAAGAAAAGGATGTGAGATTCTTTAAACTATTCTAAAAGAATGTGGAAGTTTACAAACCAATCTAAAAGGAGTACAAAAATTCCTTAGTAAGTTCTGAGTAAATATATAATTTCAAACTGTGAATATTACGTTTGGAAAAAGTACACTAAATAGTTTTTTAATATTTTGTGTGTTACATTGGAGTGTTACATTTGGAATTACAGTGATTAGAGTGTTATGTTTGGAAAAAATACACTAAGAGTGTGTTTGATTGAGGGGATAAGAGGGGGACTATCCACTGTTGGGATTGTAATCTGGAGGAAGCTTTTTTGAAGAGAAAGAAAGAGAAACAACTGATAAGATATTATTTAACAAAATGAATAGTTATATAGACACCATAGTATAACCATCTTAACAATCTAACAAATAGTTGTTAAGAGGATTTTCTAACATACACTACTATTTGACTAATATGCACTAGACTACTCTTAACCTACACACACTATAATGTATGGCACAACTGCTGCTGCTTAGACTTAGTAGATGTAGACAACATATCCTTGTGCTGCTACTGGTGGTTAGACATTGCAGACTTAGACCTGTCTACATTGGCACTATTGAGAAACATGGTATTGGCACTTGAGCTGTTGGGAAGCATGGCATTGGCACTTGAGCTAGCACTTGAGCAGATCTCTAGTTATATAGACACCATAGTATAACTGTCTTAACAATCTAACAAATAGTTGCTAAGAGGGTTTTCTAACATACACTACTATATGACTAATATGCACTAGACTACTCTTAACCTACACACATTGTAGAGGTATGGCACAACTGCTGCTGCTTAGACTTAGCGGACGTAAACAACATGCCTTTGTGCTGCTGCTGCTGGTTAGACATTGCAGACTTAGACCTGTCTGCATTGGCACTATTGAGAAGCATGGTATTGGCACCCGAGCTGTTGGAAAGCATGGCATTGGCACTTGAGCTGGCACTTGAGTTGCACTTGACATCAACCCCCTCAAGCTGAAAGTGGAAAGATCAACTAAAAGCTTGGATTTGAGAAAAAAAAAGCCGCAAACTGGGAGAGCTTTAGTGAACACATTAGCAATCTGATCTGAAGATGTGATATGTCAAATGAGAAGATGTTTAGCAGACACCTTTTCTTTAACAAAATAATAATCAATTTTGATATGTTTTGTCCAGGCATGAAAAACGGGATTAGATGCCAAAGATAAGGCAAACAAATTATCACACCAAAGGACAGGAACAGAGGAAGTAAGATGCATATCATGCAGCAACATTTGAAGCCAAGACACCTCAGCTGCAACTTGAGGCATGGACCTGTATTCAGCTTCACTAGAAGACCTAGCCACAGTGGGCTACTTCTTAGCAGTCCAAGAAACCAGATTTGAACCCGGATAAAGATAGATACCAGATGTAGATCGTCTATCAGAAGGATTACCAACCCAATCAGCATATGAAAAGGCATAAATATCAAAAGAACTGGGAGAAAAATGTAAACTATGATGCAGGGTCCATTGAACAAATTTGAGCAGGCGTTTAACCTTAGCAAAATCATCTTGAGAAGGTGATTGCATATGTTGACAGGCCTAATTCACAGCAAAGGCCAAATCTAGGCGAGTGATGGTCAAATATTGTAAACCACCAACAAGACTTCTGTCGAGAGAAGGATTAGAAAAAGCTGGGAAAGAAAATGAAAATAGAGAAGAAGAAGAAGAAGAAGAAGGACTAAGAGGTGAAGGGACAGGCTTATAATCAGACATACCGGGTTGCTGAAGTAACCTAGAATCATAGTGAGACTGAGATAAGAAAGAACCAGAAGAAGAAGCAGTAACAGAAATACCCAAAAAGAAAAAAAGAGAACCCAAATCGTTGAGAGAGAAAATAGAGTGAAGTTGAGAGATTAAGGACTGAATATGAGAAGAAGAGCTACCAGTAACAAGAATGTCATCAACATAGACCAAGAGATAAGTAAGAGTGGTAGCAGTAGATTGAACAAACAAGGAATTACCGCAATGACTAGTAACAAAGCCAAGATTAAGCAGAAAAGAGGAAAAAGTAGAAAACCAAGCTCTGGGAGCTTGTTTAAGACCATAAAGAACCTTGTTCAATCTACACACATGAGTAGAATACTGAGGATCCTCAAAACCAGGTGGTTGAACCATAAAGACCTCTTCTTCAAGCTTGCCATGAAGAAAGGCATTAGAGACATCCAACTCCTTAATAGACCAATTAAAATGAAGAGAAAAACAAAGGAAAACTCTGATGATTGGTTACTTGGCTACAGAGCTAAAAGTATCTAAGAAATCAACACCAGC